ATCTAAGTACAGGAAAGAAGAAAGGCCGAAGACCAAGGCCCCAAAAAGGGGTGGGACTAATAATTGCAACTGATTTTTTTCTACAATATTGTCTTGTTAGATTATTGTTTCTTAGACTTTTTATACCGTTTTTACACCAAATACAACCGTAATGGCCGACGTTAAACTACCGCAGCGAACCTATTCAGCTACGGACAGTTGACGCAGGAGGCAGGTTTATTCCTAATAAGATTATAATTTATTATTCAGCCCGTCCTCACCGGCCTCTCAATGAGCTCGATGCAGGGCTGCAGGTCGAGGCCGAAGTCAATGAAGTTCCACTCGATGCCCTCTCTCTTGTACTCCTCCTGCTCCAGGACGAACATGGTGTGGTTGAAGAGCTGCTGCAGACGCTCGTTGGTGTAGTTGATGCAGAGCTGCTCAAAAGAGTTGTCCTGAGGCAGCAAAAACATGTTACAGTTATTATAAAAAACAACACAAATACAATTCAAATACAAGTTCATTAAATGTTTGCTTTCAGTAAGAATTCACCTCAAAAATCTCAAAGCCAGCGATGTCCAGGATGCCCAGGAAGGAGGATGACTGCCTCTTGCTCTTGTCCAGCGTCTTGTTGACTCTGGCCAGGATCCAACGAAACAGGCGCTCGTACATTGCCTTAGCCAGAGCCTCGATCGCAAAGTCAGCCTGCAGGAGTAGGAGGATGGAGGGATGGAGTGAGAGGAGGATTTGGGAGGATTTTTATAGCTTTGTGTTGCTGGAAAGTGAAGCAACAAAGGGTTAAACATCAAACTGAAGAAGTCTGAGTGTCAGACTGGGATGTATATGTAGATGCAGCCGGTAGCTCCGTCAATCTTCCTACATTTTTGTTTTGATCTGTATTCGTAGAAATAGTCTACAGTCATTGGAGAAGAAAGTGCAGGGTTTGGATTTAAGAGCAGCGGGAGTTGTTGCTCCAGGAGGAGAGATAGAGAGCCCTCCTGGCCCATCTTGGACTAAAGGCCTCTCTTGGCTATAGTATCGAAATGGGACTCAAACAACAAGAAATTAGAGACTGTTGTGCCCACATCTCTACAGAAACCAGCTCCAACAACATCCCGGCTAAAGAACTCAACAGCGTTCGGAGCCGAAAGGACAAGAGGAGGTGGTGTTTACATCGATGATGTTCGGTGCTTTCGGTGATTAAACAATATTTTCATCACTATCTTGTTGCTGCTGTTTGACCCAAATTAAAAAGGTGACCTGCAGAATTATTTCCTGTATATATGTATATAAATAACTACATTTTATTATCTTATTCTGTGTAGCATGAAGCAACTGCACAATGTCCTTTAAATGTTAATATTTTGTTTCTTATCCATATATATATATATATATATATATATTGATTTTATTTTGTCCTATTGATCGATTTTATTAAACGCTGTTTATTGTTATACCTGCTAAACATATTTTATTCATTTTTATCTTTATACTGTACTTTTAAATGTATTTAATGTAGTCTGAACTGCAGTAAACTGCATGAAAGGTGCTGTAGAGTAAAGTTTGATTGATTGATTAATTTATATATAACAAATATTATAGATGAGCCTTTATTTTCTGTGCTAATGAGGTTTGAATTATTGTTACCTGCTGCTTGGTCTGCGCCTTCTGCACCACCTCCCTGCCCACTTTGATTCGGGGGGTGAGGATGGCACGGGTGAAGTCGGTGACGTTAATGCCTTGCAGGTGGCACACCTTCTGGGCAGCTAGAGTCGATGGAGGACACGAGACAGACCGAAGAGGTCAGAGAGGGTTTGTTAAAGGTTAACTTACAGTGCTGCTGCTGTCGGTATTTTTAAAAAAAAGGTTACCGGTGTTGTCCGGCATGGTCGCCTGCTCGCTGTTCCTCTCCTTCTCAAACTTGACATTTCCCAGTTGGAGCACAGTGGACACCACCTTCAACATCCCTGCAGCGAGGAGGAGGAGGAAGGCAAGGAAGGCAATCAACATGGTGCAGACATTTCTGATTTAAAGGTCCAGTGTGAAACATTTAGGAGGATCTATTGCCAGAAATATATATAAATATAATATTCATAAGTATGTTTTCATTAGTTCGTTAGTGTAACCAAAACAATTTCAGTAAGATCTGCTGGTGAACTGCAGAGCCATGCATCCCAGGTTTCCTCTGAAGTACCAAAACCTGCAGTTCTTCTAATGTCCACTAGAAGCTGGCTCCAGCAGTGAGTCAATCTCCATAAGGCAACATATTGAACTTTACAGCAGAAACAAACATGTTTACAACCTCTCGGTCTCTAGAGCTAATGTGTCCATTCATGACAACTGTAAAACTCACCTATTTAAATTATATTAGGGATTAAAGTTATGCATAATTATGGGTGTGGCAGCTTTGATTACAGGTGGGTGCTTCGACCATATTTGGATTTAGCCAGGGCAGAGCCAACCCATAACCCATCAACAGGTCTTCAGAAATCTGTTGGTGACGTCACTGGGAATACATTCATTTCTAATTATAAAGTCGATATTGTCCAGGATGAGGGGAATTGTGCATCTGTTATGAAATGAAGTTTTAGAGGGAGATTTTGGAAAGTTTGTCTCAGCATCAACAACAATTGAAGGTTTTCTAAAGAGTTTACTTATTTTCTCAAAATGGGAAGAATGAAGTCCTGCAGATAATTAATCTAAAAAATAAATTTATTGTTATCTCCTCATGTTATTATTTCATATGCCGTACACTATGGTTGGATGGATGAATGGTCCTGAGAGCACAGTGTGCTAAAATAAAGGTGTTTGTACCTATTCTCTCCTCCTCAGTGAAGCCCATGATCTCCATCGCCTCCAGAGTCTCAATAAACATCTCGTCATCCTCCTGACCCGAGATCTCCACGTGACCCGCCACCAGGAAACGGTAGCAGCTGAAGTCCTCCAGCAGAAGCTCCTCTAAACACAAACACACACGGATGATGATTGTTCGTTCATCTTTCGGCTTCCTTAAAGATGTTCAGGATGTGTTTAGCCTAGCCTAGCATATAGACCGGAAGCAGGGGTAAACTGTTAGCACAGCTTTATAAAAAAGAAAAGAAATGTGTACTGGCACTGTGTCAGTAAGCCACACACACAGCTCTGTGAGACCCTGCTGGATAACACATTCATGAATCTGCCCTCACATTATCCTCTGTTAACTGTTTGTACTTACTTATCCTCAAAAACAGGAAAACACTGCAGGACATCGTCAAGGTGTGGTGAAAAATGACAGGCACAACCTTAAGGGACTTTCCACACAAGTACAAGTCTATCCTGGCTGATCGTAGCCACCTACTCTCTAAGAAGTTTAAGTTGCTATCTCATAATAATGACTTAATAATGACTTAATATCTCAAAATAAGCCCATTAAATCCTATAGTTCTTGCTCATGTTATAGTTGCTCACCCCTCAACTTGTCTTTGGCTCCGGCCACCATGTAATAGAAGATGTGGAAGGCTCTCTCAGTGTTGCCCTGACGAATGCAGCGAGACTTCTCCAGCAGGTCTGATCGGGTCGGAGAGGGTTAAGCAGACAACCACTCGGTCGATATTTCAAGCAAAACGGCACATTGTTTATCATATTCATAATTTAACAAGTAAATTTGATCTAAAAAAAAAGGATACAGGTGTCAATATTGGCTCCGACAATGTAGCCGGTCACATCAAAGTTGAGCTTGATGAACTTTCCCTGTGGACAGAGCAGATCACTGAGATCAATAAAGGTCAAAATGGTTGCTATGACTTCAAAACTGTTTTAAAAAACGTACAAATCGCGAGGAGTTGTCGTTCTTGATGGTTTTGGCGTTTCCGAACGCCTCCAGGATGGGGTTTGCCTGCAGCAGCTGCTTCTCCAGCTCCCCCTACAGCCCATAACAAGGTTACACATCTACACACTACATCTGTGTGTCCATCTTTTATGTGACATTAAACAATTTATTGTCAAACAAACGTATTGTATACTCACGTAGGCCAGAGATCCCGCCTGCTGTTGCTGCAGGAAGAAACAGGAACACAAAGCAGGTTAGAAACTCAGTGAATACTCAACGTTTCCCCAAAACTGGCTTCAGAGCAGCAGGGCTGAAGATCGAGCATCAATTAAACAAACCACTGATAGTTCCTCAGTGGATTTAATACGCAGCAGAGCGAACAGCAGCAGTAACCTTCAATCAGCGTTACAAAGGATTTGTGTGAAAGATCTAAAGATCTGCTCAATGATCTCCTGTAAGTACTTTAATTAACAGCATGTGTTTTATATCTTCAGTCAGAGTTATAAGAAACACAAAGCTGGAAGTAATAAAGTACAAATATGGTGTATCTGTACTTTTTTATCTTTTTTGACATTTTTCTGACAACCCGACTCATTTATACACAAATATCTCTACACTGTAAAAAAGAAAAGCTGTGAAAATTCATGTAAAGTCTCTAAGTACAATTTAAAGTGCTATATAAAATAAATGTATTATTATTATTACTTTTCTTCTTCAGAAAAAAATATTTTTTTAAATACAAATTTGGATTTCAAAAATTGTTCAGAAAAGTCATTAAAGTGAAAACACTGTTAATAATTTAATATATTGTTCAAAACTCACTGAACAATTTTGAATTACAGAATTTCATGTTTCCAAATTTAAAAAAA